AAAATTGTATTAAAAAATAATTGAAATTTTCCAATCAGTTTTATTATTTATGAAAATAATTGAATTGATCAAAAAAGAATTTTATTATTGACGAAAATAATTGAATTTTTGCAACAATTTATAACTTCTCCAAAATTACATTTTTTTAGTGTTTTTAATTAAAATTCTTCTATAAATCCATAACTTTTAATAATTTTTGAAAAAGTTTTTTGAGAATTTTCAAATTCATTTCTTTACAATTCAATTTTACAAAATATCAATTATTCGGAAATTCATTAATTAAATATATATTATAGAAAATAAAAACTAAATAATTAAAAAAAAAAAATTCAAGTCAACTTGTAAAAAATAAATTCTACAGAATTGTGCGGCTAACTTCTTACTGCCTTTTTTTTAAAATAAAATTAGCAATTTTCAAAATAATAGAATTTAAAAATTTTCTAATTTAAATTTTTTTGGATACACTAATAAAATTCAATTTTGGAGAAATTACAAATAATTGCAAAAATTGAATTATTTTCAAAGAAAAAGAAAATTCAAATAGGTATGTTCAAAATTTGAAAAAAATTCTAGTAAAAATCCCAATTATCTTTATAAATAACAAAATTCTTTTCTAAAGTTTAATTATTTACATTTAAATAAATAAATTAATTAAATTAAAAAATAAATAAATTTAAAAAAAAATTAAATAAAAAAAACAAATTCTTAAATAAATTCTTGTCCTAATTTCAATTATAATAATTATTAATTAATTAATTTATAATTAATAAAATTTCCCAAAAAGAATTCAATTATTTAAAATAAATTTTGATATAAAATTCTACGCAAACATTTAATTATTTTCATAAATAATAAAAATTTCACAGGAATTCAATTATTTTCATAAATAAAAAATTTTTTTTAAGGAATTCAATATTATTTTCATAAAAAATAATTTAAAATTCTAGAAAATAATAATTAAATTAAAATGGTGAAAATAATTTTGGTAAAGTTACAGTAATAATATTCTTATAATATAAAGTAATTAAAAATTATCTTAAGGCTTATTTTTATCTCTCGGTCATCTTTAATTATTAGAAAACATAAAGAAATCGATGACTCCGAGTCTTCGACTCGGAGCAATCGATTTCTTCATGTTTTATAACAATACTTTTATAAATTGTTTAAAAAATTTTAAAAAAGTTTGAATTTGAAATTTTTGTATGTCTTAATTCTTGTGAAAAATCCTGTTCCAAAAATAAGATTTAAAATAAGAAATGGTGCAAATATTTTTCTTCTGTTTTTAAAACAAAATAATAATTTTGTTAAAAAAATTGTGATTCATAAACAAAAATAATGCAAAAATAAATAAATTTTCTACTTCTTAATCATAGTTGTTTAACAATTTTCTAATTTTGTTTAGAAGTAAAGAACACAAATCTGCATAATTTCAATTTGACAAAACATAATATTTAACAAAATTTTAATCTTTTAATGAAAAGAAGTGGAAAAAAATTCTGATGATTTCTATTTGTCATTACAATTTTGAATTAATTATAAAATAAAAATAATTATAACATAATAATATAATATACAATCTATCTAAAGTTAACAAAAAACAAAAGTATAAACAAAAGACAACTTCAGAGTGTGAGAGACAGAAAAAGTGAATGAATGAAAGAAAGAAAGAACATTCAAATTATTATCTATAATCTAAAATTTTAACAGAATAATTACATTTTTCGAGGAATTCGATTAAAATTGTATTAAAAATAATTGAAATTCTGCAATGAGTTTTATTATTTATGAAACAAAATGGAATTATTGCGAAGAAATTTGTGAATAATTGAATTCCTGTGAAATTTTTATTATTCTATGAAAATAATTAAATGTTTGCAAAGAATTTTATTAAAATTTTTGCAAATAATTGAATTTCGGAAAAGAATTTTAATATTTCTAAAGATAATTGAAATTTTGACGAGAATTTTTAAAAAATTTTGAAAATAATTGAATTTTTGCGAAAAATTTTATACTTTTGAAAATAATTGAATTTCTACAATCATTTGTTATTTCTCTAAAATTCTCTTAATTATATCGTACTCATTTACAAAGTAAATTTGCGTTTCGTCATTTTTCCGATTTTTCTTATTTTTAAACAATCTATTTTTGCAATAACTAATTCAAATTGTTCATTTTTTTACACAGTTAGATACAGATTCTTGTGCATTATTTGGCAGCACTGAATACTAACTAAACGCGTTTGTTTCTAACAGAGATATCGTTAAAATTCAGTAAAAAAAATTTTGAAAGAATTGTTTTTAAAGTGATACCGTGATTACAGTTAATAGTTTAAAAGTTCTAAATTTTGTGGTAATCTTGTTTACATATAATACAATAATATTATAAATGAATATCGATAAAATTGTGTGTTATACAATTTTTTGATAACTTTTAAAAAATATGTCGTCCTGGCCCTAAGGTGGCCACCATGCATTTTTATGTAAAATCACTTTTGAATTTATTTACGATGTAATATTTATCAAAATATATTATGGAAAATGTAAATTTTATCGATTTGGAGAATTTTATGATGAATAATAAAATAATTTAGTTTTTAATGTATGAAATAGGATAAATAATTAACAATGTTTTAAAATGGCTTCTTATAAGCAAAAAACAGAGTTTGCAACTATTGATTCTGTGATTATAAGCAAAAAACACTACATTTCAAATAAAATTACCTTAAATTGATTTTTACAACTATATTTTTAATTTTTCAGTGGATTTTTGAATGGTGGCCACCTTGAGGCCACTTTTTTTTAAAGAAAAATTTCAGCTGTTTTTCCAAAGTCGACGAAGTTTTATTTTCCTTAGTAAAATAAAAAAAATTTTGTTGTTAAAAAGTTAGCTAAGGAGATACAGTTTCAGGGCATATATTATTAATTATGTTATATTGCTTCCTCATAGAAGAAGGATTGTATTAGCAAAATTTTCGATTGTGATTTTTTGACATATTTATAAACTTTTTTCATTATATAGGGGAATGTAGTCAAGGTTGGCCTACTGTCTAGGTAGGCCACTCGCGTTTTTTTGTCAAGTTCACTAGCGCCACCTACGCGCATTTTTGTCGAAGCTTGTCTTAGTGAAACCTAACTTTTTGTTCAATTACATTTTCGGAAAATCGAAAATTGTGTTTTTTGTGACGTCGGTACAAAAAAAGCTCAAAAAAAGTTTTGTGCATAATGTGAAAAACCATTAATAAAAGATAAAAAACAAATTGAATCGTCAAGGCAAGTATGCAGAAAATTTGTGGGACTCATGGTTGAAAGGAAAACAAAGTAAAAAATCGAATCCCGAAACGTATTTCTTTTTGTTTACAACAATTCGGTAATGTTACTTACTGTCAAGGTCGGCCACTATGTGTTTAAAATGCGCAAAGTTGAGGACGAGCTACTTCATTTGCAAAAACTGCAATTCTGTATAACTCATAATATAATTGATCATCTTATTAATATTTTTATTTAATTTTATTAATATTTTAGTGCAAAACTTTTTTTTATTTATATTTATTTTTTTATATTGTTTATTGTTATTATTTTGTTATTTCATTAAGTTACAAACTGTAAACAATAAAGAATCAATTTTCCGTAACTCCAAACATGTTATTTTATTTTTTAACGATTAATGCCCTTTGAATTTTAAACATGGCCGACCTTGACTGTAATGGCTAACCTGGACTACAAATTTTTTTTTTTTTAAATCTTTATAACTTTTTCATTTTTAAACCTGTCAATTTACTTTGTACAGAAAAAATGTTCCTATTAAACAGGACTTTCCAACCATATACTTCAATTGTCCAAATTCATTTTTAAAAAAAAGTTATAAACAAAAGTCAAAAAGGTGGCCGACCTAGACTATGTTCCCCTACCTAATCTTTTAGTACTTTATGCACGAATGGGCATTGCTCGTATAAATGTTATAAATAAATAAAAAAAATTTTTGATGTAATTTTATCTCAGAAGTCCAAAAAACGGATTTTAAAAAATTGTCCCGATGTGTGTGTGTGTGTGTGTGTGTGTGTGTACTAACATTACATTTACCTCAATATCTCAGAACGAGAAAGAGCTAAAGGTCTCAATCTTTTTTTAAATTGTAGGTCTCCCCGGGGGACATAAAATGAGAGTATTTTCATTCCGATTCATAAAGTTTAACTATATTTTTTTTGCATTTTTCATTTTGTAAAAAAACGTTTTTTGGCCATAACTTAAAAAAATGTTAGGACACCTATAAATGTTTTTCTTTAGTTTTGTAGAGTTTTTTCAGACGCATCTTTTGAGCCTTCATTGAACATTTTTTGTCTATATTAGCCGGAGATATTAAAGTTTTAAAAATCTAAATTTTTCGAAAAGAACACTTTCTTGAAAATTTTGTTGAAAAATATAAAAGTAACTTTAAAAGTATCATTACCAACTTGTAGAGCATTAAAAAATGCTTCGATTGACCTATTTTTGAACCTGATTCGGTCAAAAATTATCGAATTATTGGTATTTGAAAAATAAAAAACTGTGGAAAATATAATTTTGTCAACATTCTTGTTTATTAACCTATGTGTAATTATTAAACTATTATAACCATCTTATAGAATATATAAAAACACATTTTTTGGACCAAGATTGAATGATTTTTAACTCTTTTATAAAAATTAATTCTTATATTTCAATTATTATTATTTCTATGAGGAAGCAAAGTGTTCATGAAATGAACACCAAAATTATAAAAATGTACAACTTGGCAGCTGTTTTTTAATACCGTTTAGGAATTACAGTCGTTCAAAAGATGGGTGTCCACCTTGGGGCCCCTTTCCCTACAATTATAAATTGTAATAACTAATTTTACCCTAATAGTGCAGACAATAGAAAATATTTTTTTACCCCAAATAGAGGTATGTAATTACCTCGCAATTATTAAAGAGAGAGAATCGAAATTTAATATTCAGCAATCAATTTTCTTTGGTTTTGCAGAAGTGCCTGACAACACTGGACCTGACATCCCTTGGAGTGGGATCTTGCGTAGGAACAGGAATGTATTTGGTCGCGGGAATGGTAGCACGTACTGTGGCTGGGCCCGGGGTTGTGATTTCGTTTGTCATTGCGGCGGTGGCCTCAATTTTTTCGGGTATATCACTTAATTACATTAAAATTGACTTTTTATTTAATATACATATTCCCCTTTTGTATAATTGGTTATATGAAGAATTATCTAATTTTAATTGCAAATTTGATTGAATTTTCCCCTACATAGAATCTCTAATTTATCTTTAATTCGTAAAATGGAAAAAAAATTAACATTTGGCAAGAAGAGAATATCGTTGAATATAAAAAATTTACAAAACATTTACATTAACATGACAGAAAAGAAATGAATAAAGTCGCAAAAAGACGGATAAATAAAAAATAAGTGAGTTTCTATTAAAAGTAAATGAAGAATTTAAAGAAAAATTAATTATTGACTAGTTTTTGTACTGCAATAACATTTATGTGTGTGAGTTACAAAATTTAAAATTCACCTCATTTCCTGCTAGTAAACGATATTTTTCTTTTTTTTCTGGTTCAATTATTTAAGATGATCCCGTTAGCGATAAAACTTAAATGTTTGGAAGAGATTTTAAAATAAGACACATATTCCCCGGGGGTTTTGAGATTTTGCTATACGCTTAACTGCATAGAATAAATTTCCTTTCGTACGTTAAAAACACGATTCGGAAGTGAAATCTTTTCTTTTACTCTAAAAGTTAAATTTCCTTTCTTACCATTTTTAATGGTGTATTTATTGTATATTTTAAAAATGTACAATTTAGAAACAATAAGTCTTATAGAAGGGTTTTTTTTTACCTTTCTAGAAATAAAAGAATTGTTACTTTAAACTCAAAACCATTGTTGCTTTGAAATAAAAATAATATTTTTTGTCCTAAGCATTATTATTAATCATAACAGCAATTTTTGAATTGAGTGATAATTTACGACTACTTTTAAAAAAATGTTAATCCATCCTGTAACAATTTAACAACAATTTTTCAAGCAACCGTGAAGAAAGTTTCGAGAAATTATGACATGGCTATAATTTTTAAAACTTCCTTAATATCGCGCAACAAAAACACAACATTTTTCTTCTTTACTTAAAAAAAACTTTTTTTTTAAATCTAAAAATCTTTCCTTTTCAACAAAAGATTATCAGGCTTGCCACAAAAATTAAATTTAGTTTTTATTATTATTATTATTTTTCCATATGAATTATTGAATAATTAAATGTTTCTCAAGATTGAATTCTCAAAAAAAAAAATTTGAAAATAATTGAATTTCTGAGAATTTCATTATTTTTAAAGATAATTGAAATTTTGACTAGAATCTTTTAACATTTTTTAACATTATTCAATTTCCGCGAAGAATTTTATTACTTGTGAAAATAATTGGAATTTGAACAAGAATTTTATTAAAATTGAAAAAAAATTAAATTTCGGAAAAGAATTTTTTATTTATAAAAATAATGGACATTTTGACGAAATTTTTTGAACATAATTGAATTTAGGCAATCATTTTTTGTAACTTCTCAAAAATTTAATTTTAATTTTATTTATTGAAATAAATCCAACAGTCACATCAAAAATGCAATTTTTCTGAAGTTCACATATTTATGAAAATTATAAACGCAACTCTTTAAAATTCAATTAATTTTGAAATATATAAGCAAAATTATTTATTAAATAATTTATAATTAATAACTTTATGCTAGTTATTCAAGATTTAAGTTATATTTAAAAAGAAATTATTGTCAAAAATGGAAAAAATTGAAGGTTTTTTATTAGAATTTGTGGTAATTTCATAGTTTATGAGGCAAACAAAAAAGACACGAAAATTAATAATTTTCTTATGAATTATAAATATTTAATTTTTTCCATTACTTTTAATAAAAATCCCTAATTTTCCCCTGAACTCCCTGACCTGTGACAACCCTGATTATTATTATTTACATCATTTAGTGCATAAATCTGAATTGCAAATTTGTTTTTAATTACAAAATAATTTAAAATATAAATTATAAAACATGAAGATAACGATCGCATTTAAAAAATATTTTTAAATATTAAATGAATAAGAAATTTTGCAAATAGTGATAATACTGCTGTTATTATATACAGAGCAGAGGAAAAATTGAAATTTTATGGTAAAATAAAAAGAAATCAATTCAAAACTGTTATAAAAGATTTTAATTATGATCATCATTAGATAACGATGATCGTTCATATTAATCACTCATAAATGACAAACCTCGAACAATTTTGTGTAAATGTAAACTATCCATCGCACCTCTATAATCGCTTATCGTTTATGTAATGGCATGTCACAGCTTGATTCGATGGTTATTTGTTTCTAATATTGATTTCATATATAAAACCGTTTTCACTGAGAATAATTAGCTACTATCCAGTTTTCTACTTTACACTGGAAACAAAATTATTTTATTCAAAGAAACGATTACTTGTCTTATATTAAATAAAATCTGATAAATAAATCTGTATTTACTTATAAATTAATAAATAACGAAATTTTATCAAATAGGTTTTATCTAAATCAATTAAATGTTATTTGGTTGAATTACTGAAATTATTGATTCAAACACAGTTTATTTGGTTTAAGTAAAATTACGGACTTTATGGACCTTTTTTCAAAAAAACGGACTTTTATGGAATTTACGGACCTAGTTCGAGCCCTGGACAAGTAATCGGTTATTTGAATAATAAAAATGTTTATTTCATGTGTAATTTGTTTGAAATTAATGAATAGTGGAAAAAACCAGTGGTTACTACCAATACAGTAGTATAAACCTGAAATATTCAGACACAGTGGTAGTAGTCAATTTTACGTCAGACACGTTCCTTCCTTTCTCTATTTTTTCCCCCTCAAAAAACAGATAAACTATTTTTACACTTCTTTCTATTTACGGTTACAAAAGTCTATTAATTATTTATAAAGAAAATTCCACTTTTACGTCTATGCAGGTGAAATGTTGTGTGGGTTTTTTCCTCTTGTATTATACACTTGTATATATAGTTGTATCAAAATGAATGTTTCCAAACTTACACATTGGATGGGATTTCGTGACACATTCTTTTTATTTATTTAGAGATCCACGATATATACTACTGCTAAAAGACTGTCAGGTATTCTCGAGACTTTCACACAGTGAAAGAATGAAAGAAGGAACAGATGGAGAAAAAAAAGAGAAAGAGAGTGAATTCAAAAGTTACCAACAAAAGTGAACTTATACTCAAAGAGAGATATTCTCCTTTTTTCATCATCTTTCCTACATAGCATCAATTAAAGTCCGAATCAAAATTGTTATAAATTGCTCTCCTATGTATAATTCTAAAAAGTAGGTTACCTCCAACAATCGTAAAACTGAACGAGACTAATAAATTCATCCTTCTATATTGACAAATGGAATTATTTTGTCCATAATTAAATTTATGGCAAAATTAATGAGAATGCAATTTGCAGAAGTTCAACTAATGATAGAGTGGAAAAGACTAAAGGGAAAATAATAGAGTATTTCAAGGAGTTTGATGAAAAGTTTCTATAAATTGTTGCACTATGCGAATTGTTACTAAATTGATAATTGTGGACATAAAGATCCAGATGATCTATAGCAAAAATTAATTCTTTCTTTTGCTCTCTCATAGAGGAGAAATTGTATTTATTTATGTATTTAAGAAAATAATAATGCTACTTTAATTATTGTACAAGTATTGTAAAAAAATAATGGTACCTTAATTATATATTATTGAACAAATATTGTAAGAAAAATAATTTAATGGTACTTTAATTTTGAACAAGTATTGTAAGAAAAAATAATCGTACTTTATTTATTGCACATTGTAAGGAAAAATAATGGTACTTTAATTATTGTACAAGTGTTTAGACATCTTTGTCATAAATTAAAAATAATGGTACTTTAATGATTGTACAAGTATTTAGACATCTAATTTCTATCTCTAGGAGCCTGTTACGCCGAATTTGGTGTCAGAGTGCCTCACACAACTGGCAGCGCGTATATGTACAGCTATGTGACAGTAGGAGAATTAATAGCGTTCATTATTGGATGGAACATGGTGCTTGAGTACCTTATAGGTACGAGTGCGTGTGCCTGTGCGCTTAGCGCTTGTTTGGATGCCTTGGCGAATGGTGCCGTTTCGGGAGCCATAAGCAACAGCGTTGGTACCATTTTCGGTAAGTCTATCGACAATCTCATAAATTTTATTGCTATCTGATAACGATTGAATTTTACTCCACGACTAGTGAACACAATCATGGACTTCAAGCTCTACATCAAATCAATTTCTACCATCAAAAAACTTCTTATACAACAACTATTATTTATTTATTTTTTTTTATTAATTATCAACAACTATTTTATCTTTTTCATTTTCTAAGAATATCAAATTGAGACAAAGAAAGTATCAATTTGACATTCTTAGAAAATTAATGCTAGTGATAATCATAAAACTTATTTTACTTATTCTGGAATAAAGAAAATATACTGGAAATATTAAAATTTTCCCCGGAATTCATCTCTTATTGAAATTTTCTTTTTAAAAAACAAACAATTTAAATGATCATTCAAAGACCATAAATTTTCCTCTTAAGTATAAATAAAATGCATTATTCATGGAATGGACAAATAAAAAAAGAGAAGAAAAAGTTAACAGTCCGTTTTTAAAGCGTCAACAGTAAACACGCACAAGATGTTAAAAGAAAAAAATTCCCCACATACAATGTGAAATCAATATTTACTATCAACATTATTTGCTGAAATGATACTTTCTCCTCTGATTGAATGACAATTAATTCGAATTATTTCCTACGGAAAAATATAACAAACACTTCTTAGAAATATCCTTTCTTTATATCATTAATTTTTCGTATTTTATATCTTATTTAGCATTAAATAAAAATTGTCTACCTCCAATTTTTTTTGTTTCTATATATATATATATATATATATATATATATATATATACTAGGGGGGCTTCGCCCCCCTGCGCGCCGCGCGAACAACCCCCTATCTCTATTTTTCTATTAATTTTAATTTTTATAAATTTAAAGTAATTTTTTCTTAATATCAATGCATCTTAATAAATTGCATACAATACATGACAAAATACGCATAGATTTTGACGTAATGTAATAATCGTTATGGACCTTTTTTATATATATGTCAAAAATTAGATTAAACTTTGACATATATTTTGACCCATTTTAACCTATAGGTTAAAAAGGCGTCAAATTTTAAATAGATTTTGACGTATCATAGATACGTTTATTGTCCTTTATTGTCCCTTTTTAAGTTGTAGTTAAATAAAAGTCAAATTACACATAGATTATGACGTAACTAAATGAGGAAGTAAAAATAAAACGTCAAAATTAGGTCAAAATGATAGGTGTAAGAGCAAACACAATTTTAAAATTACCTTACATTGTTAGGTAAGATGCCAAACTTCACCTCATCATTAAGTCTGCGCGCGGAAATTGTTTGACAAATTTTGATGTGTAGGTCAAAACTGCCCTCAAAATTGACCTAAATTTTGAGGGTAGCGGAAATTGTTTGTCAAACTTTAACGTCTAGGTCAAAACTGCCCTCAAAATTGACCTTAATTTTAAGGGTAGCGGGAATTCTTTGTCAAATTTTGACGTCTGGGTCAAAACTGCCCTCAAAATTGACCTAAATTAACGTAATGTGAGGCCTTTATTTATCCTCTTTTTGACCTACAGGTAAAAAAATATGTCAAATTAGACATAGATTTTGACGTAATGTGAGGCCGTTATTTATCCTCTTTTTGACCTATAGGTCAAAAAATAGGTCAATTTTGACATAAGTTTTGACGGCCCCTTTGGGCTAGGGCGCCCTTACAGAATCTTGAAACAGCGGCGGCGGCGGCGGCGATATCTTTTTGTAATATATATATATATATATATATATATATATATATATATATATATATATATATATATATATATATATATATATATATATATATATATACATATATAGATGGAAGTGTAGTATCAATTTAATTATACAATAAATATTAAAATAACTCCAATTCAGTTTAAAATCAATTAATTAAAATGAAAATACAGTTATTTTGATTTAAACTAAATATAAATATAGAACCATTAACGAACCATTGGTTCAACGTATCAATTAAATTAATTAAAACTTTTTTAACAGGGTTGCCACGCTTTTGCTCTTTTCAAATTCCCTGACTTTCCCAGGTTTTCCAGGTTAAAAAACGGAATTTTTCCAGGTTTTTAATACGAAAATTATTCGAAAATATCAATAACTTCATTTTTAAATAAATATTTATAATCATTATTATTTTTTCATATATATAAAAATTAAAATTTTCAAAAATTTGAAATTCAATGATTTATAAGAATATTATTATAAAACATGAAGATATCGATCACTCCGAGTCTTCGACTCGGAGTGATCGCTTTCTTCATGTTTTACAATAATTAAATTAAACTTGCTACTTTGTTACTGTAACTTCTCCAAAAATTATTTTCATCATTACGGATTATTCATTTCTAGAATTTTCATCTAAAATTCTTCTTTAGGTCAGTTTTTTAAAAATTATTTTTGCAAAAGTTCTTTAAGAATTTTCAAATTCTTTTTTTTATTTGGTGAAATTTCGATTATTCTGACATTCCTCAATTTAATATATTAGAAATTAAAAACTTTAAATAATTCAAAAAAATTCCATTAAATTTTTTGAAAAAAATTAATTCTACAGAATTCTTAATTAAAAGTATAGAAAGTTCAAATTTTCAAAGATTTTAATTTGAAACCTTTTCAAAATTCAATTATTTCAAAAAATCCACGCTATAATGCTTTCAATATTCAATTATAATTTAAAATTTTAACTAAAATTTATTATTTTTTAAATCAATATTTATTAGAAAATTCTACGAGAATTCAATTATTTAACTACACGGAGAGACCGAGATTACTAATTTTTGTATAAAATCACACTAGAATTTACTATTTTCACATTGCAACCACCGGAAATAAGGGGACTTTTTGTATTTTTTACTATTTTCTACACGAAGTCACTAATCCGACAAATGTTCACCAAATTAGCAAAGTTTCTTACTATTTCGTCCAATAGTTCCAAACAACTGTAGTAAACTCATAAGTATTGTGTACGTAAAATTACTATAGTCGTTTGTAAATGCAGAAAGAAAGAGTGAAAGAAAAAATAGGGATTTTTGTCGCCGGTTTCCCGTCAATTCTTGACTAATGGAGGTAAACTGGAAGGATTTTTACATACACAGACACACACACACACTTATATATTTGTTGGATAAATATTTGAAGACACACACATGTTTATTTCACTTATATGTATAGACGCGGTTAATTAATACACAACTGCACGCACGACAACGAATTTCACTGAAAGTATACATCTTTGTTTCCTTATATATTGAATGATAAAAATTTACAGCACTTACGAGAAAGCAGTTTACTTTTAACAACTTATTATAAAACATAGTTCTTGGGACATGAATAAATGCAAAATTTATTAATTTATAATGGTCAATTTCCGAGATAACGAACGACCTACGTTTCACTTTATATTTAATTATTGTAGATAATATCCAAATTTATTTTACATACGCGAAACATAGTCACTGTCAATGATCGGATGGCATCGGCTCATTTACGGAGATTGACGAAGTTAGCAACCAATAGAAATGCAGGCGCCATATGACTGCACTCGCTAGCCACACTTGCTCACCAAAAATTACTACAGTGGATAGTAGGTTTTAGTGGAAAATGTTTTCATTTGTCAGATTTTTTCTAATTAAATTAGAGAAAACTATAATCAATTTTCGCTACATTTACAACTCTTACACAAAATATTAAAACTTGCTATTTCAATGTAGCAAATTTATCTATTTCTTTTGTAAATTTATCTAATTCTGTAGTATATTATGCTAAAAGTCCCCTGGCCTTATTTCCGGTCATTGCAACCATTTTTAGTAATTTTTACAAATGTGGGTCTCTCCGTATACAAAAATAAATATTTTATTAAATAAATAAATGGTTCTGAAAATTGAATTTTCATACAGAATTTTATCAACAAAAGTTTTAAATAATTTAATTCTCTTGAGAAATTTTAATAAAATTTTTAAGAATAATTTCATTTTTCGAGAACTTTGATGACAATTTTATTAAAAATAATTGAAATTCTGCCAAGAATTTTATTATAATTTTTGAAAATAATTGAATTTCGAAGAAGAATTTTATTTTTTATAAAGATAATTGAAATTTTGATGAGAATTTTTGTAAATTTTTTAACATAATTGGATTCTTGCGAATAATTATAATACTTTTGTAAATAATTGAAATCTTGAGACTAATTTTCTTAAAATTTCTTTTTAAATAATTGAATTCTTTTGTGAAATTTTTTTGAAATAGTAGACATTGAGAATAATTGAATTTTGCCAAATTTTTGAAATTAATTAAATTTCTCTAAAGAATTTTCTGAAAATTATTTTGAAAAAAATTTTATTGTTACAAAGTATTTCATTATTTATGAAAATAATTAAATTTTTTGAACAAATTTAATTAAAAATGTATTGAAAGTCTATGATGAGTTGTATTATGTATTTATGAAAATAATTGAATCCCTGTAAAAAATGTTATTATTTATGAAAATCATTGAATAATATTTTATGAAAATAACTTGTAAATAATCACGGTTGCCACAAAATAATAAATGTAAAATTCCAGGCTTTTTCCAGGTCAATACTTATTATGAAATTCTAGTGAAAAATTTAAAAAAATTGCTGGCTTGAGAACATAGCTTTGGCTCTTAAAAGTTTTTTTAAATTTCCAAATACCAGAAACTTAATAATAATTACAAGCCAAAAATGTTTTCTTCCGTAAAGATTTTTATACACTGTAAAAAACTTAGGGAGTTAACGGACTCGGGAGTTGGGAGTTAAATTTTTCGAGTTAAAAATCAACTCCAAAAGAGAGTTAATTTCTAACTCCCTTCATTCAACACCTGCGCGAGTTATTTTTTCCATGGGGAGTTAGCATTTGGGTGTTAAATTTTAACTCTGTTTATTTAACTCCCCTGGTATTAACTCTCCAATGGGTGCGACTTTTATAGACCCCCCGGAGGAGTTAAAATTTAACTCCCTTTTTTTACAGT